AGTTTTACTTAAATGTAATTTCATATAGTTTTTCGAATTCTCAATCACAAAATAAAAATACACAAAAATTAGAAACACAATGTAAAAATTAAGAATAATGTGCAGAATCAAATATCAAGTAATACCAACAAATAAAATAGAACTTAGAAAATCATATAAATTTGCAGTAAAATTAAAGAATAGATAATCAAATAATTAATAAAACTATAATGTTTAATATCTAACTAATCCTAAACCTAAACAAAGGAAAAGACAAAACATAGGGGACTGGGGGTAACATTAATTAGTTGGTACTTGGTAATAAAAGAATCCTAAATGTGGAAATAATAAACCTAACGTAAAATCTTACTACTTCCGTCCACTTTTAATTGTCATAGTTTTCTTTTTATAGTCAAACAATAATAAATTTGACTAACATTATACTATGTATTTTTTCATCAAATTGATATGCAAAAAATTGAAATTTGTAGTACTTTTCGTATAATTATTGAATTTTGTTTAAAATATCAAATTAATGTAATCTAATTTAACTTTGAAAATTAGTCAAATTGACTTTCGAAAAACGTAACATGACAATTAAAAATGGACAGAGAGAGTAGTTAGTTTTAGATTCTTAAATATTAAAAAATAAAATTACGAATAAGGAAAGATTTAATAATTAGTTGGTTTTTAAGTCCTAAATAAATATTGGAAAACTTATTAATGACAATTTTATCTATAGTAGATTAAGGGCAAAAAAAATTATAAGCACCTTCATGTTTTAATATAATATAGATTATAATTATAATATTGAGCAGTATTTTATTATCCAATAAAAAATAACTAAAATTTTCTTCTATTAATTTAGGTTCTTTTTAATCCCCCCAAAAAAAAAATCCCCTGCCTCCCTTAAAATCTTCGTTCAAACCCTAATACCCAGAAGACATTCATCTGAGATTTTCCTTTTGCAAAATCAATAGGTAAGTATTGAAAACACTCGTAAACTTGACGTGATTATTAGTTTCATTCTGAATTATTGACAAAGTTAATATCGTATAACAAGTTATCTCAAACTGTTTTAGGAGTGTGTGACTCTTAATAAGTATTAGTTTCATTCTGAACTATTGACAGAGTTGGGTGTTAAAGAATAACAAAAGTCCCACATCGGTGGTTAATGAGATGGGTGGACTCCTTATAAGGCTTGGGCAATCCTCCTCCCTTTAAGCTAGCTTTTGGGATGTGAGTTAGGCCTAAGACCTAATTTAACAATATCGAATAACAAGTGATCTCAAACTCTTTTAGGAGTGTGCGACTCTTAATAAGTACTCCCTATGTCCCTAATTACTTGTCCACTTTTCCTTTTATGATTGTCCCTAATTACTTGTCCATTTTGACAAATCAAGAAAGGACAAAATAATTTTACCTATTATACCCTCAATTAATTACTTTAAAAAAGGTACAATTTTCTTGAATATCTTAAATTTTTAATCCATCTACTTCATAATTAATAGGGGTAAAATGGTAAACTCACTATGTCAATAATTATTTTCTTAATAGGTGTGTCAATTCAAAAGTGGACAAGTAATTAAGGACAGAGAGAGTATTAGTTTTATCTAAACTATTGACAGAGTTAATATCAAATAACAAGTGATCTCAAACTCCGACTCTTAATAAGAAGCATTGTACTGTGTATTTAAGGTTAGTTAATCAAGTAGAAGGGTGTTTTTTTTAAAGGTTTTTACCTTTGTTTTCGTTTGTTTTCCATGTCGAAGGCCAAGAAATTGAAATATTGTCGTCCCGATAATCAAGTAGAAGGGTGTTTTTTTTAAGGTTTTTACCTTTGTTTTCGTTCGTTTTCCATGTCGAAGGCCAAGAAATTGAAATATTGTCGTCCCGATTGGAATACAGAATACTGTATACAAATATCAAAATTTGTCAAGAAATAAGTATCAATAACCATAATACTGATTTTACGTATAATTTACCCACATTATACATTAAATTTCGATTTGATACCTTGTTTACTGGACGAGTCGATGAACAAAAGCAAGCTCATAGCAGAGCACTCCATATCAAACTTTCCATTCTGCTACATACATGTCACGTGAAAAGTTCTTTCGTTTTCTGGAAGATAATCTCTACCACAAATTATGGGGTAAAGTGTTTGATAAGATTGATCGTCGAGCTATGATTAAAGAAATCCATGGAATTATTGGCGATAAGGGGCGCCAACGCTTGGATGTGAGCGTTCATATGATTTTATTATTCGTGTCAGACATAGTGAAGTTGTTATGGAAGATGGAGAAGGATGAAAGTGATTGTGTCATTTGTTTCGAAGAGCTTGGAAAGTATGAGGAGAGGTGATATGCATGCCGTGTTCACATATGTTTCATGAACATTGCATTACAACTTGGCTACAAAATGGACATTCTTGTCCTGTTTGTCGTTATGATCTCCCCGCTATATAACTAAAAAAAACTTGAGCTACAATAGTTTCACAGTTTATTTGTTATAGTAGACTTTTATCTATTTATTTTGAAGCCTTAATACTTATCGTTGTTTACTATTGTTTTCAATAATTATGTTTTAATTATCATACTATATTTTATTGTGATTTTTGCTCTTCTAGTAAGCTGAGGAACTGATTGGAAGCAAAAGATATCAAGGGTAGAATTATAAAGTTTTATTTATTTTTTTGGACTATCTATTTTAATGGTTACATTAACATCATATTATACTAAAAGTGAAAATCACAAAGTTAAAAGTTGAAATACCATTATACCCTTACACTATATTAAAATATTTTAAAACATCTTATTGAATTTAATTATAAAATAATAATTAGTTGGTTAAATTCCCTATATCTGTCAAGCATTTAATGTAATCTATTAACCTTAATGTCTATATATATTAATTGGTAGATGTTTTCATCTTCCAACTGAAAACTAGCTTAATAGATGTACACTTGATAACCAAGAGTTGTAACATAGAAGAAGGATAATGAAGAGTCATATAGTAGTTGCCCGTTAATCCTATAAATATATCTCTTTCTTTTACTCAAATTATGCAGTGCCTTGATTTCTTGCCAGCTTCAATTCATATTATTTCTTTTTCGAATCCATTCAAATTATCCTAAATTCTTACATAAAGTTTATGATACAATTCTCCAATTTAATTAATTGTTTATTTTATTTTAAAAGAATTTCTTGAGTTAAAAAAAAGAGATTCTGGTGATTTCCTTGGAAAGAGAAGTCGAGATGACGATGATATTAGTTTCTTGTATCTTTTCTCATTCTCAATTATTGTAATTTGTAATTATGTCTTTATTGATCTATTGTTATACCGTCAGTAGACATGTGCAAAAATCAAATATTTATTACGTAGTCATTTTTCGTTCAAAATATTTGTTGGTTTCTTTGCCTTACAATATCTTATGAATTTTAATACTTTTTATCTCTCTACAGATTGCTAGAACAAGATTGTGAGTGTGAGTTATATGGCTTTTAACGAGTTGTTTCCCCCATTTCTTTTTGTAAATTCTTATTACCCACTCTTGGTAAACATTTGATAATCGCTTAATTTTTCATTTTTTTTTCTTCTTTCTATGAACGTATGAAAGTAGAATTTTCTCTTCTTTTTTCAGTTTTCATGTCATGACATTTTTCGTTTATACGTTTGAGGATGTTAGCATCAGATTGATTCTTCAATTTTACCAAACCATCCGAATCTCTTTGTATTTTATTGATGAATACGTGCATCTCTAAGCACTCTTTTCTTTAATTATTCTCTATAATTTGGTGTAACTCATGGTACACATTTTAATTTTATGTATTTCGTTTTAAATCGAGTGTACCAATCAATATGAGATACTCGTGCAATCACACGTGTTCATATAAATATAAAACCACACGACATTTTAAACTCTCTTTTTTATTAGTATCAATCTATAATATGTAAGTTTGATATTAATGTTGCTTTAGAGATTAATGTTATTTTGGTCTTTATATATAAGTTGGTTGCTTTGAAAGGTCATTCAAATCCATATTCGACAAGAAGAAGTTGCTCGGATGATAAGCACCTCTCACATCCAATCTTAAGGTTGTGAGTTTGAGTCATTGAAAGAGCAAAAAGGTGGAAGCTTCTAGTAAATAAAAAAGGTTGAACAAAATATCTTTATACAAATAGTCAATCAAATTTATTATTTTTTTCTTAATCGATATACATGCCTAAATATACATAACTAATTATGCATATAAGATATTTAAATAATTGAGTGTTCAAATATTTATATTGATTTTTCTTAAGTATGCTCTAATCAACTCATCACCTAGATCATGTTTGGATGAGCTTATATTCATAATTATAAATCAAAATTTAGAAATAAGCATCGCCATGTGCGTGTAGATTGAAATGATCTCGCGGAATAGGTCAATGGTAAAGTCAGTTAAAACGATGAGAAGCGTCTTAGAAATTTTGTGAAGGTAGAGAAGAAAAATTCATATAAGATTTTAAGTTAGTGTGTCATGAGAAGACAGGAATTGTCCCAGACTTCGCCCTAATTTTCATCTAAGATTGAATAATTTTAAATTAGTCTCATTAAATTCACTATCGAATAATTCAACTTTTTTTTTTGTTTCCCACTCAATGTTAGGAGTCCATATTGGAGCTCCGACTAAATCCGGATCACGCACTACAGGGTCCATTCAAGGAAGGCGCTCCCAACAAATTTTTTTACATACTTAGAGCTCGAACCCGAGACCTCTAGTTAAGGGTAAAAGCACTCCCATAAGCCCATACCAATGATCCCTTGTCTATACTAAAATGACAATAATTGGAGATTTTTTTGTTCATACAAGTACAAAGTGACAGCAAGAGCTTAGTTTTCTTTTTTAAAATTCGATATTCGATACCTATACTATTAAAGTTTGACGAAATTTAAGTTTACGTTGAAAAATTTCATATTAATAGTAAAACCCCTTCTGATAAAAATGACTCTATACTCAAAGGACTTAATCCCGACATCTAATTAAACCTGAATGAGCACTTATCACTCAACGACCCTTCCGGTGGTGTGACACTGTGACAGCAAGAGCCTAGTTAAGACACAGCCAACATTTGTACCCCTTTTGCTCTCTCTCTCTCTCTCTCTCTCTCTTGCTAGTCTCTGCTCACTTTTCTTCTTCCATTTTCTGCTGATTTTTACACAGAAAAGGAAAAAAAAGATGGCAAGTGGGGGTGGGTATGGTGATGCAAGTCAGAAAATAGACTATGTTTTTAAGGTTGTTTTGATAGGTGATTCAGCTGTGGGAAAATCTCAAATACTAGCTCGTTTTGCAAGAAATGAGTTTAGTCTTGATTCTAAAGCTACTATTGGTGTTGAATTCCAGACAAGAACACTTGTTATTCAACGTAAATCTGTTAAAGCTCAGATCTGGGATACTGCTGGCCAAGAAAGGTAAATGGGGTTTTGTTTTTTTTTGCTAAAGATTGAATCTTTTTTTAGTTTTGATTGTTTTGATGCAAGTATTGTTAAAAGTTTACAACTTTTTGATGTTGGAAATGAATTGAGGAAATGGGTGTTTAAAGAAAAAAGTTGTGATGGTTCTTTGCTTAAAAAATGAATCTTTTTAGTTTTCTTGTTTTGCTGCAAGTGTTGTTAAAGTTTCCAACTTTTTGATGATTAGAAATGAATGAGAAGATGGGTGTCAAAGAAAAGAAGTTGTTTTGATCTACAAATATTAGTGCCATATAAAGTGCAAGAAAGGGAATACATTTCTTTTTCACTTGTAATGGTTCTTTTTGGCTAAAAAATTGGTTCTTTTTAGTTCTCTTGTTTTGAAGCATTGTTAAAGTCACAACTTCTGATCTGCAAATATTAGTGCAAAAGAGAGAGAGAGGGAGTACATTTTTGGGGGTAGTTTTGAGTTGAGAAGTTTAATGAATTGTGTGTTTGTTGTTATATAATGCTGTTTTTCTTTGCTTTGATCTGGCTTTTCTTGTTCTTTTGCTTTGTGTTTGAAGCTGCTGATATCATAAAAGATATTTAGTAATGTGTTTGCCATATAGCAAAACTGTGTAGTGAGCTTTGCCTTTGCTATGAGTTTTTGTTGAATCACCTGAGGAAAAGCTTGATATTGGTGCATTTGTAAGTTTGAACTCATATACATGCTGCTCAGAGATTCAGAATTGTTTCTCTTACTGTAGGACAGCATGAATTTCCCCCTCCATACTAAAGGATTTATACCACTATGAGTTTCGATATTCACCATCGTTGTCGCTTTCAACTGAACAATGAAACAATCTTGTATTAGAGGAGAAACCAGTGATGTCTATCACTGTTACATTACTTGAGCTGAAATAGAGGTTCCAAGCAGTTCCTGTTAAAATAATTGTCTTTGGATAACCGAGTGCATTGGTGCACGGTTTGGAACTCGGTTTGGCAAGTTTCCACTTAAATACCTTGCTTTTTGCTATGGTCGGGTTTGAACCCATGATGTGCTCTAACCCACACATTTCTGCTCCGTTCTTACCACTAAACCAAAGCCCTGTGGGCAGCAATTTGTGTAAATTTGTTTGCTTCCAGTTACTTCAGATCTTACTTTGCTAGATCTTAAGGGGTAAAACAATCAGACATTTCTTTCTTTCCTTTCTTTTGTCTTTTGGGGGTGGTGTGGGGTTGGTCATGTCTAATCTTCTTTTTCAGCTATTCTGTGCTCCTTGGTTTGCCTAAGACATTCTGAAAATCCCTTTCAGATCCGAGTCTTAACAGCTTATATATCACTCAATCATTGCTTTGTTGTTATGAACAGATATAGAGCTGTCACAAGCGCGTACTACAGGGGAGCTGTTGGAGCTCTGTTGGTTTACGACATAACAAAACGCCAAACCTTTGATCACATCCCACGCTGGCTTGAAGAATTACGTGCACATGCTGACAAGAACATCGTGATTATGCTGATCGGAAACAAAACTGATCTTGAAGATCAACGAGCTGTTCCCACCGAGGATGCTAAAGAATTTGCACAAAAAGAAGGATTGTTCTTCTTAGAGACATCTGCAATGGAGGCCACAAACGTCGAGGATGCCTTCTTAACCGTTTTGACAGAGATCTTCAACATTGTGAACAAGAAGAATCTCGCCGCGGGTGATGATCAAGCAAATGGTAATCCTGCTTCATTAACTGGAAAGAAAATTCTTGTACCTGGTCCTGCACAAGTTATCCCAGAAAAGAAGGCATGCTGTAGTTCTTAAGATATTGGAATTTTTCTTAGTAGCCAGAAAAAAGAAGAGGATTTTGAGATATTGGGATTTGGAGTTTCTTTTTCATTCTTTGGGTGTTGTTAGATTTCAAAATTCATCTCATAGTGATTCTTGAAAGTCTTTTTGTTTATATATGTATGATGTTATTTTTGTACTGTTTTAATGAAAAGGAAATAGTTATATGGTTTGCACTAAAGACAGTTGCAGCTGAATTCATAAATCTTTTTACTGATAATATTATATCTACTGATTTCACTTTGACTCGGGGATCTACTGGAAACAATCTCTCTATGTCATAAGGTGATAGTGGTAAGGTTGCGTACACATCATTCTCTCCTCACTTGTATTTATCACAAAAGTTGATTAGTTCAGATTAAGTTACATAACAAAAGGCCAAGTATTACCAACTTATCTCCAATTAAATCAAATTGTGTACACAAATTCTTGTAAAGGACAAAAAATTTCTCTAACATAGTGTTTACATACATCTATATAGTCACTTTTTAAATGTAAGGGATTGGTTTCAATTAGAAAGTTCTCAAGTTTTATAAATAAAAAGACCGCTAGACACCATCTAATGATATAATTTCGTCTTTAAAAAAAAAGAAGAGAACAGAATATACAAGATCTCTGGTGTACCTAATAGAGAATCTATATACAGCAATGACAAAAAGGACAGCAAAGACTTTAGATCCATACATGTGAAAGACTGTCCATAAAGGTGCATATATGAAGACATGAAAGTTGATATCATCAGTGGGACCAATATGTTCCCCATATCAAATGATCAAACAACAACATACTCGGTATAATCTCATAAAGTGATATCTGAGGAAGATAATGCATATGCAAACCTTAAGTATAGAGGTTGTTTCTGATATACCCTCGCCAGAAAGTGGAAACGAAATCTAGGCTCAATGGTCATAACTATGATGTACTTGAATAATTCAACATATTGATAAAAAAAAATCTAAAATACACAATAAGAATTATCATTGTAGATATGTTGAATAAACTTGAGTAACCTACAAACAAGCAATTACTAAATTCACTATCATGGTTGTTAAGTTTTATAATATGAGTGTTCTCATGGTTGTTCTGTGTTTTCTTTAACTTCATCTTCCACTGCTTCAACTATTTCATCTGCCTTGTTAGTTGATGGCATGATTTCTGGCGAGGACGCTTTTGTTTCCTCCTCCACGCCCATTGACATCCTTTCAAGAAGTTCTTGGCAATCGAGTGCAGTGACCATTACCGATATATTAGACCTACCTCTCCAGCATCCTATGGCGATAGTTGATGGATCCGCTTGAGCCTCTGACAACGTCTTATTTTCTGCAGGAAACGATCAACAAAACTTAAATAGAAGCAAAGCAACGAGCATTCTTTCTAGGAAATGTGGAGGTGTTTGGCCAGTATTTGGTTGAAGTTGATCAAAGAGAACTTGAAATTGAAGTTCATTGAGAGCATTTGGAAGTTAATGTTTGGACATGAAAATTACATTTGAAAAAAGTTCGATATTTTTGCACAAAACCATGATTTCACTTGAAATACTGAAATTTAGTATTTGTGAGATCATGGCCAAACACTAGAACTAACCTTTGTTCAGAACTACCACACAACAACCCATCAACAGCTGTGATGCCTTTTCACCAAATTCAGCATCCACAAAATCACCCAATTTAATGCTCTTGTACTGCAGAAGATGCTTGAAGTCTGCAGGAGATGAGTATAATATTTGTTTTGTTATATGTGGCAGCATTAATGGCAATCCTTCAGATGATATGCGGAATATACATGATGCAGATGCACCATCTTTTGATGTTTGGCGCTCCTGCAATGTGGAAATAACCAAAGCAAAAAGGTCATCTAAATGGTGCAATAGGCAGGAGGATACGAGAAAAGAAAGACCTTGCCTGTATCTTCTCGCTCCTCATCTTACTTCATCTTTTTAAGAAGAAAAAAAAACACAAGGTGGGTGAGGGTTGCCACTTTTGCTATTTCGCCTATCCCAACTAGTCTGGGACTGAGGCATAGTTATTGTTGGTGCAACTTTTACTTTTATGATACAAGCTCTATGAAGAGAAGTTACATGTCAAATTTGACAAAAACATCCAAACAAGTGTCAAATGTGATAAAATCCCCAGGAAGAGAAGTTACGTGTCAAATTGGAGAAAAGTCGCACAAAGAGAAATGAAGTGTCAAATTCAGATAGACTTACAAACATCTTGAGCCCAACTGAAGCTATTTTAAGCTGCTGACCAGCTAGAAAATTGAGATGCAAAACTTCCTTCACAGACTTTGAGACATGATAAATTCTCTTGACATGGTTCATATCACTATTCCTGGTAATCAAATGTCCTTCGAATAGAAAGGATTCCTTAATACCGTAGAAATCCTTTATCTTACTCACAACTGCCTCCTCCTTGTAAAATATAACCGGGTCAACCCCTCTCCACTTGCCTTGCATTTGTAACTTTCTTTTCCCTCTCACAGTCTCGGGCTCAGCTCTTGTATCAGTTGAAGGTTGAGTTTCCTCTTTCTCGGTTTTCTCCAATATTTCACTGGGCTCAGTATCCAAAGCAGTTTCATCTGTTCCATTGCCAGCCTCATCCATAGTCACATCTTCGCTACCAACAGAATTCACTGGCTTAACATCCTCGGTATTTTCATCTTCTTTGACCTTAGTTGTTACACTTTCAGCTTGAATATCAGCATCATCCATAGTCACTTCTTGGGTACCAACAGAATCCACTGGCTTGACATCCTCTACATTCACATCTTCTTTGACCTTAGTTGTTAAACTTTCCGCTTGAATAACATCACTGGAATTTGGCTTCCCTCGCGAAGACACAGGTTTCTTCTGCTGAAAGGCTGCAGCTGCAGAAACAATCAAATGTCAAATGATTCAATTTTCTGATTAATGTACTAATGAACAGACAGTAAAACTTTAAACTCACCCGGCAAAGGGGAGAGCTTTTGAAATACGGAAACAAAGAAGGCTCCACTATTCTGATCATGCGGCACTATCCTCATACAACGTTCCAGAGGTAGAGTTGAAACTTCCTCATCCGAGATCGTAGCTGCAGTTGCTGGATCTTCCAACACCTCAATGACATTAGCATTATTTCCATTATCAGACAATTGGTCTCTAGTTGCATCATCATTTTTCTCAGATGCATCCAAATAGGTTTTGCCAGACGGGAACATCCCTGGAACAATTGCATTTCTACGACCCTCAGGAACATCTTTATAAGAAGTCCACCACGCTCCTTTATCTCGAACCTGTGCGTACAGATGAGCAAACAACAAATCAAATCATGCAGTACAAAGCAACGGAACCTGTCTAGCATAACTGGAATTGAAATGTTTTAAGAACTCATATTAATATTTGCTATGCTCCCGCCCACACTATTAAAAGATCGATAGAACTTATAAATACAGACAAGATCATTGAAAAGCTGTAGAGACGACTAAATGTTGTGATCACCTCCTAGCATTCTTGGAATCAGTACAACATCGTATGGCAGAATTCTCATCGTCTCAACCTGTTTGACACTCTTTCCTTTTTGTCCTTCCAAAAGATTGACATATTTCTATATTTAAAAACTAATTCCGTAATTTTTACATTCCCACTGTCACATTGACATGGCCTGTTCTAGGGTCCACTGGCAGAAAGCTTGGTACTAGGAACACTTTTGGTATTTTATGTATTATAAGACTGTCATCAGTCTTTGTATTTTTCTTAAACACCATGTCCAGTCAATTGAAATGGCAGGACTATTAAATTTTATATTCCACCCACAGAAGAAAAAAATAACACAGAGCTGTGTGAAACACACACAAAATATTCTTATGTTCTTTAAACAAATTTCACAAGATATCAAATTTCCTGAGGTCATATTTATTACTCCCCAAATTTTCTCACCAGATATAGACTATTATTTGAGACTGATAGCATCATGAACTAGATAAACACAAAATGCCACAATCATGTGACATAAAGCTGAAAAAGAGATCATTTTGTGGATATACAATGCATCTTCAAACACCACTATATCTCCTTTCGTACATAATGGATTATAATGGACATGGCCCTCTGGTCCGCGACATAACATGGAAAAAAAAGAAGATGAAGGATAAGGATCAACATTTTTTACCACACCTTCCATTTTTTAAGACCTGGCCTGCGAACAAGTTGTGGAACCTCACTGGACACATCAACTAGTTCAACGGACTCCCCACATCTCCGTAAGATCTGCAATATCAAAAGACAGTTTGGGAGGAGGCACAACAAGTTTTAAAGTGCTTGCGAAATTAGAAGGCAACACACGTACATAATTACATATATTTGTGTGTGCATGTATGTAATGTATGTCTAAGTTCTGTTTCTCAGGAAAAATTATACTGATTAATCATCAGCCATCCATAGTGTCACAAGAAGCAAGAAAACATGTTGCAATGGTTGCAACACTTGGTACAAAACATTCAACTACGATGTTAAGAAGCTTTGCTGCAGTCTTTTAATCGTGTTAGAAATTTGTGTGTCAGTAGAAAATGTGGAGAACTACTAGTACTAGAGAACCTTAATTATTGAATATTGGATTGAGAAGTGCCTCAATGGAGTGACATCAATCAGGATTATAGAACATACTCTCACTAGCTTGGAATTGCGGCATAGTTGTTGAATAAAAGAGTAATATAAGCAACGGAATGTTAATTGATATGCCAGCAATTTTATCCTTTTTTAAAAAAAATAAGGGGAGAACAAATATGACAGCATTTTTCCTAATGAGTTACCTCAGCAACCACGGCCTCATTCTCTATGGGATTCATTGAGCAAGTCGAATAAACCATCCTTCCACCTACTTTAAGCAAAGACAATCCTGCAATATATGTTTTAAAACAATCATGTATCTACAGAAGGCAACTCAGAATGGTAAAAAGATCGCATAGCATTGTATAAGGCTTATATACAGAAATTATAACTATGTCTCAGTTCCAAACAAATTAGGGTCAGTCGGTTATATAAAACCTCACTGACCATGTTTCTCCATTAAATTCATGTCAGGCCAACATTATACAAAATAAAGGTAAATAGTGGCGAGTATTAGAAGTAATAAAAATAAAAGTGCCAGAAGTAAAGACAAAAACAAATAATTGATGAAGTTGTTACTTAGAACTAAGAAAAACAAGAAGAGATTGAAAAATGCAGTGACG